GACACGCCCGACGTCGTTCGACCGTGTGTGCTGTCCAAGGGAGGTAAAGTCATGACACGCCCAACGTCGTTGGACTGTGTGTGCTGCCCAACGGTGATGATGGCATGCCACACCCGATGTCGTTTTACCGAGTGTGTTGTCCAAAGGCGGTTATGGCATGTCACACCCGACGTCGTTCGACCGTGTGTGCTGTCCAAAGGCGGTGATGTCATGCCACGCGCAACGTCGTTTGACCATGTGTGCTGTCCATTGGCGATGATGGATTTCCACGCCCGACGTCGTTCGACCGTGTGAGCTGTCCAATGGCGGTGATGTCATGCCACACCTGAAGTAGTCCAACCGTATGTGTTGCCCAAGGGCGGTGATGTCATGCCACGCCCAACGTCATTCGACCGTGTGTGCTGTCCAAGGGTGGTGATGTCAAGCCACGCCCGACGTCGTCCGACAGTGTGTGCAGTCCAAGGGAGGTGATGTCATGCCACGCCCGATGTCGTTCAGCCGTGTGAGCTGCCCAACGGCGATGATATCATGCCACACCCGATGTCGTTCAACCGAGTGTGATGTCCAAAGGCGGTGAAGGACTGTCACGCCCGACGTCGTTCGATCGTGTGTGCTGTCCAAAGGCGGTGATGTCGTGCCCCGCCCAACGTCGTTTGACCGTGCGAGCAGTCCAAGGACGATGATGGCATGCCACACCCGACATCGTCCGACCATGCGTGCAGTCCAAGGGCGGTGATGTCATGCCACGCCAAACGTCGTTCGACCGTGTGTGCAGTACTAGGGCAGTGATGTCATTCCACGCCCGATGTAGTCCGACCGTGTGTGCTTTCCAAGGCGGTGATGACATGTAAAGCCCGACGTCGTTCGATCGTGTGTCCAAGGGCAGTGATGGCATATCACGCCCGACGTTGCCGACCGTGTGTACTGTCCAAGGGCGGTGATGTCATGCCACGCCTCACGTTATTTGACCGTTTGTGCTGCCCAAAGACGATAATGGCATTCCACGCCCAACATCGTCCGACCGTGCGTGCTGTCCAAGGGCCGTGTTGTCATGCCACGCCCGACGTCGTTCGACCGTGTGTGCAGTCCAGAGGCGGTGATGACATGTCACGCCCGACGTCGTTCGACCGTGTGTGCTGTCCAAAGGCGGTGATGTCGTGCCCCGCCCAACGTCGTTTGATCGTGTGTGCTGCCCAAAGGCGATGATGGAATACCACGCCCGACGTCGTTCGACTGTGTGTGCTGTCCAAAGGCAGTGATGTCATGCCACGCCCGACCTAGTCTGACTGTGTGTGCTGCCCAAGGGCGGTGATGTCATTCCACGCCCGACGTCGTCTGACCGTGTGTGCTGTCCAACGGCGGTGATGTCATGCCACGCCTGACGTAGTCTGACCGTGTGTGCTGCCAAAGGCGATGATCGCATGCCTCGCCCGACGTCATTCGACCGCGTGTGCTGTCAAAGGGCGGTGATGTCATACCACGCCCGACATCGTCCGACCATGCGTGCAGCCCAAGGGCGGTGATGTAAAGCCACACCCGACATCGTTCGACCCGGTGTGCTGTCCAAAGGCGGTGATGGCATGTCACGCCTGACGTTGTCCGACTGTGTTTGCCGTCCAAGGGCTATGATGGCATGCCACGCCCGACGTCGTTCGACCGTGTGTGCTGCCCAAAGGCGATGCGCCTGCCATTGGCGTTCTGCTTTCTTTGTGATGCGTTTGGGGCGTGCTACGTATCTAATGTGCTAAAAATCATCTCTTAACTAATCCCTTGGCATGACATGTTAGATTTTTTGCTCACACTGTATTCCTCAACATAATTCCTCTAATTTTGGGTACCTCCTTCTTCTTTTTCCTACACATCAATCGAACAACGTGACATAACAATGGTGGGTTGCCTCCCACCTAGTGCCTTAGTTTTGGTCGTAACACGACTCATATTTTTGAATTACTTTTCTTAATTATATCTAAGGACCTATTTTAACTAACAAATAAGAAAATTTAAAAAGTCTATGCATAAGAAACTAAGCTAAATTTACCAAATTAAGCCTAACTACTACCTATTACATCGACTTCATGGGTTGCCTCCCAAGTAGCGCTTGGTTTAACATCACAACACAACAGAACTTAGATAATTCATCATTTATCTCAAGAGCCTCCCAATCATGATCTGAATCAACACCAAAGTAGTGTTTCACTCTTTGCCCATTCACCAAGAACGTAGGTGCAATCTCTCCTTTTAGTTCCACAGCCCCGTGTGGTGTCATTCTTACCACTTCAAAAGGTCCACTCCATTTCGTCCTTAGTTTTAATGGGAATAACCTAAGTCTAGAGTTAAAGAGTAGTACCTTCTCTCCCAGATTGAAGGTACGAGTTACTATGTGCTTATTATGCCACCTGTTCGTCTTCTCTTTATACAGCTTGAAATTCCCATACGCGTGACGTTTAAACTCTTCAGGTTCATGCAAATTATCCACTCTCTTTATATTGACTAGCTCAGGGTACAAGTTCAACTTCTTAATCGCCCAATAAGCTTTGTTTTCTAATTCTGCCAGAAGATGAAATGCTTTCCCAAATATGATGTAATAGGGAGAAGTCCCTATGGGTGTCTTATAATCAGTCCTATACGCACAAAATGCGTCGTCTAATTTCTTAGACCAATCTTTCCTTTGTGCATTCACCATCTTCTGCAAGATTTGCTTTACTTCTCTATTAGATACCTCCATTGGACCACTTGTTTGCGGATGGTACGAAGTAGCAACCTTATGAAGAATTCCATACTTAGCATGCCACGCCCGATGTTGCCGACCGTGTGTGCAGTCCAAGGGAGGTGATGTCATTCCACGACCGACGTCGTCCAATCGTGCGTGAAGTCCAAGGGAGATGATGTTAAGCCACGCACGACGTTGTTCGATCGTGTGTGCTTTCCAAAGATGGTGATGACATGTCACACCTGACGTCTTTCGATCGTGTTTGTCGTCCAAGGGCTATGATGGCATCCCACGCCCGACGTTGTTCGACCGTGTGTGCTTCCCAAAGGCGATGATGTCATCCCCTATCCGACGTCGTTCAACTCTTTGTGTTGTTCAAAGGCGGTGATGCCATGCCACACCCGACGTAGTTCGACCGTGTGTGCTGTCCCATGGCGGTGATGTCATCCCACGCCCGATGTTGCCAACCGTGTGTGCTATCCAAGGGCGGTGATGTCATGCCACGCTCG